GGTACAATATTCATAAAAGTTTCGAATCTATTTCACTAGAATTTGAATACCCTTGCAAGTGTTACTTTCCCTTATCAAAGTACTTGTGAAAGGTTCGAAATTATCTGACATAGGCTAGATTACACTTAGAAGTTCTGTTTCTATTTATCGAAATACTTTTGGAGAGTTCGAATTTAATCAAAGTTAGAACCCGTTTGCAAGGTACGTGATACCATCGTTAATAATTATATGCAGTTATCGTGATTTAACTGTCTAAGAGTGATATTGATGTAACGACTCTCTACTTGTTTTTGAGAGAACAATTGAAGCATCAGAACCAAGGAACAAGAGGGATGAGCTTTTACACGTGTTCGAAAGATCTCCAAGTACGCTCATGTGTTCGTTAACTGCTGGGATGAGGTACCTATAGGTGACACGTGCTACGAAAATACACGGCTTAAAGAGCGCGAGAGGGAAGCGGCGAGATAAAATTAGAAGTAGAGAAAAGCGGCGCGTCGAGACGTTTGTTTTACGGTCCCGCCCGGTTCCATGACATTCGTAGCAATTTTTCTTTCCACGTCCACTTACGCCACGGTGGAACGCTCCAATTCGGTGAACAGGAGGGTCGCACCGGTTCCGGGGAACCCGTAAATTAATAATTTCAAACACGAAACGTTATAACCAACAAAATGTGTTATAATTGCATCGATACAAATTAACAATATGATTTCAACGAATGAATAAAAGTGATTAAATTTCCGTATATAATTGACCTCTCTTCATGATTAAATCAGTTTATAAAAAGAGATACGTTTTACAAAGAATGACCAAGTTTTCATTTAATTAATTAATTTTATTATTTAAATCACGTTCCAATGGAATTAATAGAAAACACTGAATGTAATAAATGATACGAACAATATTCTTTACGAATGCAACAAGAATACGGCGAATTGTCTGTTGGGTCCAGTTATATTGCTCGTGCAACTCATTTAGCGAACACGAAGTCTCTTGTACAGTGTCTCTTTGTATTTACTTTTTCCGAGGGAAAACGAACGCCTCCGAATGAGTTATCGAGGTTTCACCCCGAGCCTACTCAATTATCTTAATGAGCAGAAACGCCAATAGCGCGCCACGCTTACGAGGGTACGTCTTATTTTTAAACTTATTCTCGCGTTGACGAATTTGCGGACAGTTCACGCCCCTTCGTGAAGACTGTCAATAAGAAAAATTCCCTCTCGGAGATTTATAGAACGCTAAATCTTAATTAAACTACAAGAATTGAAACGAGGAATTTCTTAGCTTCGCACGTGCATCGAGCGTAAAATTATTATAAAACTTTTACTTTTTGTAAGAAGAAGATAATAGCAAAGAAAGTTGTAACGTTCTGAAGCCTTACTTAATTGTTAGACGTGAGATAATCATCGTCTTATTGGAATACAATGCAGTAGATTAAAGGATAAGCGAAGGAATTTGAATTATTTTTAGTTGAAGCGAGTTGGATAAAAATTCAGGCACAATGTACTTGAAAGAATGCACGGCTCCTTTATGACAGACACGGGGGCAAATATTCCATTAAAACGACGTTTATCTTCGTAACGGTATCCGCAATAATCGTGCACACGTAATACACTATCTATTCCATGTATGCCTGTTTAATAGCTTCTGTTTATAATTTTTGTTTAAATACGCATAAATTATCGTTCTGCTTCATTTACGTTCCCGAAAATGATTGAATGATTAAATGGGATAAATACGAAAATCCTCCTAAATAGTACAAAAATGTGTCAGTCCTATCTGCGGTTCATGAAAGGCTTTATCAGACACAAGGAACAAGCTCAAAATTTTGAGACTAAATTTCTTTATAGACTAACCAGTGTTTTATAAGGAGTAAGTAGAACATCATTCTTTCGCAAGTTTTACTTTACTGATTCCGTAATGATTGTGATAATATACCCTATTTAAAATGTAATAAATGATACGAACAATATTCTTTACGAATGCAACAAGAATACGGCGAATTGTCTGTTGGGTCCAGTTATATTGCTCGTGCAACTCATTTAGCGAACACGAAGTCTCTTGTACAGTGTCTCTTTGTATTTACTTTTTCCGAGGGAAAACGAACGCCTCCGAATGAGTTATCGAGGTTTCACCCCGAGCCTACTCAATTATCTTAATGAGCAGAAACGCCAATAGCGCGCCACGCTTACGAGGGTACGTCTTATTTTTAAACTTATTCTCGCGTTGACGAATTTGCGGACAGTTCACGCCCCTTCGTGAAGACTGTCAATAAGAAAAATTCCCTCTCGGAGATTTATAGAACGCTAAATCTTAATTAAACTACAAGAATTGAAACGAGGAATTTCTTAGCTTCGCACGTGCATCGAGCGTAAAATTATTATAAAACTTTTACTTTTTGTAAGAAGAAGATAATAGCAAAGAAAGTTGTAACGTTCTGAAGCCTTACTTAATTGTTAGACGTGAGATAATCATCGTCTTATTGGAATACAATGCAGTAGATTAAAGGATAAGCGAAGGAATTTGAATTATTTTTAGTTGAAGCGAGTTGGATAAAAATTCAGGCACAATGTACTTGAAAGAATGCACGGCTCCTTTATGACAGACACGGGGGCAAATATTCCATTAAAACGACGTTTATCTTCGTAACGGTATCCGCAATAATCGTGCACACGTAATACACTATCTATTCCATGTATGCCTGTTTAATAGCTTCTGTTTATAATTTTTGTTTAAATACGCATAAATTATCGTTCTGCTTCATTTACGTTCCCGAAAATGATTGAATGATTAAATGGGATAAATACGAAAATCCTCCTAAATAGTACAAAAATGTGTCAGTCCTATCTGCGGTTCATGAAAGGCTTTATCAGACACAAGGAACAAGCTCAAAATTTTGAGACTAAATTTCTTTATAGACTAACCAGTGTTTTATAAGGAGTAAGTAGAACATCATTCTTTCGCAAGTTTTACTTTACTGATTCCGTAATGATTGTGATAATATACCCTATTTAGTCTTCGCAAAATTAAAACGAAATATATGTTATAGAAATATCAAATTTTATAAAATGTTAGCCTGTGAGGTTCTGAACGTTATATTAGATCATGCAATCTATTACTTCCCATTATTATTATTAGTTTCCCATCGGTGTATAGATTGCAAGCATTCTTTTCGAATAAATGTAGTAAAAAAAATTAAGGTAACTATTAATAATAAGGAATAATAAGGGTGAGAAGAGAGAGGGAAATCTGCAGGGCTCGGCGTCGTTCCGTTAAGATTCCGCGGGCGAAAAACTATTTTTGTTAATCATGTGCGTACCACAAAAGCACCCTTTCCGGTTATCTTAGATTCCTCGACGAGCCACCCATCAAAATGATAGACTTCTCCCATGAAAGAGAGTCGAGCCGCGGCCGCGTCGGTGCGTTTATTTTCGTACTCTACTTTCCCCGCGACGAGCGGATAATAAGCAAAGATTCCAGACTGAAAAGGTGGAGAAAAGCATCGACGCTGGGTTTGTACATGGTGTTTCAGGTAAGGCGCCACTTATCAGACGTCTGGGGTCGATAAGGCAGAAATTGTCCATCGATTGCGACGTTGCCGGGTTGGTTTGGGGCACTCTGACGTCAAACGAGGTGGGGGGTTGGTTACATGGAAGCTCAAATATTCGGTGACGGTGGTGCGTAGACGAGGGTGCAAAAAAAATAACGGTGTCGCGTGAATGTGAGCTTCGACGGGCCTAGTGGACACGTGTGTTTGTGCCATGTGTTCGTCTCAGGTCACGGTGACGAATACGGAAGTCGCACGGTCCAGGAGCGAACGCCTCGCGACGTATCTACGTCGCAATTACGCAATGACCAGCCACTATGTAGTATACTACGCGTGAGGATCGTCTGCGACTATATTTAAAAAACTCCGTTCGAAAAGCTCCTCTCTCGATGGTTGATCGTGAATGAACAAGTACGTTCGATGTCTTCTAATTCCTGAAGGAGGTACCTGAGGCCGGGAACCAACCCTGGGGTTGCGACACTCGGTCTGATTTTCACTGGGCTATTCCACTGTGTTCAAGGTTACCAGCATGAGCTTTTGGACCCGCAGACGATTTCGTATCACGCCGCTACGCGCGTTGGCAGCTTTCGTCCTTATGGTCATGTTGTTCTGGTATAGCCTCAGTCGGCAAGAAATACCGCGGCAACCGTGTAGCGTACCGGAGGAATTCACGGAGAAACTACACGACCTTGCCTACAGGTCCGTACTGATCGGTCTGACTAGTAAACGTCGGATGGCACATTCTACTTAACGTACGAGCAAGTGCACGACCGGTGTACACGAATATTCGAGCAGTTCGAAATTCAAACTGAACAGAGATGCGGTTTTCCATCCGAAAACTCTGCAAAATCGAATAAATCGAAAAAACCAAACTATTTGAAAGAAATGAGTAACTCGAAAGAAATCGATCTAAATACATTTCAAAAAGGCACCAAAAATAATTCGAACTGCTCAGATTCGTTTGAGCCACTCGATTCGGCTTAGCAAATAAATATTTTTACCATTGCCCACAATTATTCATACAATTCCCTACTTCACATTCATCATAATTTTCTTTAACACGAAATCTTCTATAAGAACTAAAAGAAAATAAATTTGTATTGCCACATTGTTAAAATACAATATTAATGTCTGCACTAAATTCGAATGTGAAAAATAGAAATATAATATATTAATCTAAAAACATTGTCTATAGATTTAGTGGTAAATTATCAAGGGACAAACTATTAAATTCATCTTCAAAAGTAATCCTCAAACTTTCACTGGGCACAGTTTCTCTGATGACGATCCTAATACCAATTTCACCAGCCATCGTACATTAAACTTCTGTCGTTTTTTTCAATTAGGGCACATTTGGTGCTAGCCAAACTGAGCACGGTGCACTTCTTGTGTCTTGGCGGGCTTTGGGGTCAAGTTCGGATCGGTCGTGCTTTGCCCTGGGCACGTAAGGTCGAGCTTTGTATGGTGGACACGCTTAGAGACGATGTTCTGATAACAAATGCGTTCCGCGAAGTTGAACTCAGTGCTACGTATCTGCATGCGGCCGGTGTTTATCGTATCCAAGAGTACGACGTCGTCGGGGAAGATGCGCCTACGGTGGAAGTTGTGGTGTTTGAGGAAGACGCTGTGGTAAGTCATTTAATATCTCACTATTGTATATGTATAACG